TCCATTTCTCCGCTAATATTAGGTTTTTTTTTCAATTTTGTTTTCAGAAATTAGAGATTGCTCTTCGACCTTTACTTTGAACCAAAAATCCAAATTTGAAGAAAATTGCCGATCTGAAGGTATACTGTAACCTTAATTGTATACAAGGACTCAGCTAGCTAGAGTGGGATGTTGTTGTCGGCAGAGGTCGACTGGAGAAGCTATACCAAGAGAATCGTAGAGAGCTATTGATAAACTTCGTTTAAAGTCAAATGAATCGAGAGGAGATTTCTTCGGAGACAGCGACGTTTACTGTGGGTTTGTGTGAGTGCTGACTGAGGTTTTGTAGCAGGGTTAAGTTAGTTTGATGATAGATTGTATTGTTTAGGAGTCACTCCTTGTAACTACGATTTTATTAATTGCGCATCGCTAAATAAATAAGATGGGTCTGTAGAAGAGTTTCGCAGTTAACTTTTTCTGTCGGTTGAGTAATACCATAACAATTATGATAATAGTTGTTCTTCTTTATACAGAAGGATTCTATTTTTGCATTGACATTTTAAATTGACCATCAACCTCGAATTAATGGCGTTATTCTTTTCTGCTTGTTTTTCGGATAAAACATCGAAAACACATCAGCATGCACACAGTTTTTTATTCAAAGGAGGCAAATGCACAAATAATAGGAACTTTGTTACGAAAAGTTTCCTTGCTATGAATTGTCCCGGAGCACGAGAAAATAGTAAGACTTCCAGTCACTTTTCAGCCAACATCGGTGTTTATTGGGTTTCATACAACCGGGCCAGGGTATGTTTTACATTACATTCCACTACAACTATTATATAAATTGAACTGAATAAAGGTAATTTGTGTAACCGAATTGATTATTTGTTAAAAGGATTAAAGTCTTGATAGTGGGTATTTCTTTCCTGTTCAGTCATCATTTCCCATCAGAGCATAATCGGTAAAGCCTGAGAATGATAAACATCAAACATTAAAATTTAGATATACATTTTCTTAATGCTTGGTTTGATCTGATATATTGTTTTCTTTCCGCTTTTTTTGTGGAAATAGGGTACGGTTATTTTGTGTCAAATCGGATTTATAGATTTCGCTTTACTGGTATGAAATAGGGGTATCCAAAGCCGATTGTAAGAGAAAGTTAAACTAGTTGCTGACAAAAGTGGACGGAAAGGTACAAATGTGAAAGTAAAATACGGTATGTAAAACATTTCAGTCTGAAAGAGAGCGCAAGAGCTTTGAGAATCGGGGGTACAAAAACACCCAAATATGAAAGAGCGTAAGGTTCTTCTTTGATTTGAGAGGGTTTGCAGAGCAAGTTGGTATTTTTCATTTATATTCTGAAGACGTGAACCGGTTGGCCCATTCAATCTTACTTTCAATCGTTCGTTTAACTGTCAAAGTAGATGACGTTTTTTCTTAACGTAGGATCTATTCCATTACCAAAAAGGGTTTTTCTCTTTAGTGAGCTATTGTCGACTTGCGTGAATAAATAGCAAAAAATTACTTGCCTAAGCCTCTCTCCACCGCCATCACTGCCACCATCATCGATCGTCATCGTCACCACCTTCAGATTCAGGGGCTAGAAAAATTAGGAAGATACAAGGAAAAAAAAAACCATATGAAGGACTGAGATTATTTTTTCTTGTACTTTGCTTAAGTAAATAAAATTCCGCTAGGATTAGTTTTTACAAATATATGAAAAAAAAAAAATGCTAGAAAACTTGTAATGTTTCATGATGGTAGCTATTTTCAGCATCGAGATCTGATTGACTCTGGTGAAAATATTCTTTGCGCGACGTTTGGTACAACAATTTTTAAATGAGAGTCTGTTCAAGTCTCAAAAAATCTGTGATATAAGCGGCTAATACGAAAAGAAAAGTGCAGTGCCCCTTCAAATTTCTTTCCGATATATCGTATTGTTTTGTAATGACAACTTTCTTTGAGAAAAAGTGGGTGCTTAACATTTCTGCGAAAAGACCTTTTTATATTATTTGGGTCAGATGTGCAGAGAGATCGACCCCTTCGATGGAGTGTGAGTTTGTGTCAAATGTGTCGTAAAAGCGTCTCGAATACTTATTGAACTGAAAAACTCCAAAGAAATTACTTACGAGAGTTATCAACAGGCGCAGTACGACAGCCAGGAGTACCTGGAGCACCAGCGCCGCCATCGCCGCCCCCACCGCCGCCACCGCCACCGCCGCCACCACAACCAGGAGCACCAGGTTCTCCGGGAACGCCACCACCGCCGCCACCTCCGCCTCCTCCACCACCACCAGGGCCACCGGCACCGCCGTCACCACCGCTGCCATCGCCATTACCTGGCCCCGGGAGAGGGCCACAGCCAAGCACTATGAAAATAAAACGATAGAATAAAAAGTGCCCGTTTGAAAGGCTGAAGTCATGCCTTTGGACGCTGAAAATACATGCCACTCAGTCAAGATGAAAACATCTCGACTCGGGAAATCAAGAATATGTGTTTGTTCCTACTCTAACTTGAATAAAGTAAATCACGTTTGAGTGTCATTTTCACACGAGATTTTGTGGTTTACGAAAAAGATTTTAAAACACGCGCTATTTTACCAAGCACTAAAAACGATACTGAAATCAAATTTATTATAAAATATGTTAACTTAAAAACAACAAAACGCGCAAATTAGCATCTAGAACTGATAAGTAGACATGAAAAATTCAGGATCAGTCTCGCAGTAAAGCAGCTTTCTCAATACGTTTTGAAATGATAGAAAAAATTCCGAAGTAAACGAACGAATTAGTGTTTTTGGAAACAACACCAGTTTAGGTTAGCCGCCTACCATGTTATACGATTTGCCATCAAAAAAGAATTGCTATGAGCAGCAAGTTTGAAGAATAATGGGGCCTAACTTCATTCTCGGTAGGCAATTATGAAGCGTTGTCCAATTTAAAAGGTGTATTATTATTTTGGTTAAAACAGTTGTGGAAGGCTGATGTTTTTCTCCTGGTCGTCTACTAAATCATTCTTTAAGTACTTTTAACTAACCTTCCTGACACTTCATAACTCCCAGCACTAAGGCTATGACAAGCAAAAGTCTCATGGTGGACGCTGTTTTAGTTCCTAGCTTGTAGTAGACGAAATTTGTTTGACCAAGCCACTGAGAATTCAGTATTTATGTCGTTTCCCAGTTATATTTGCTTGCTGGCAGAACTGCTTGTTATTTATAGCCTTTTTCCTTTATAGAAGCGTGTATGGTTGCTAAGTGTCCCATGACTGAGCACTTTTTTTCTTGATTCCACAAATAAATTCGCCTTCCATGTACCGAGCAATCTAGAAACAGTTTTTGCTTCAGCAGCGCTCGTCTTTTAAACTATCCATCTCAAAATGTCAGGCAGATGAAATATTTCAACGAATTTGCAGAGATTGGATTATTTTTTAATTATAGTAATATGTTATTATTTAGAGGCAAAACAGTGGAGAAAATTACAATGAAATAAACATCTGTTGCATAGTAATGAGAGCAGATTAGCTAAATTTAACTGCAATATAAAAATATAGAGGTGGTGTGTAAATTGTAGTGTGAAGTGATATATTTCTGTAAACCTGCTCGATATACATATTGATATCCACGAAAGCCACCCACTCTTCAAAACACTTACATCTAATAGCTAGGACATAATCGTATTCTCAGTATTGGGCTGGAACTACAGCTTGCACCGGCTCATGCGGGGGATTAAAAAGAGGTTAATGTCATTTGCATTTGAAAAGACTCCTCGTGTTAGCTTCAGTTGCAAGCTAGTTGCACTCGAGTATCGAAAAATCGAAAATCGTCTATTGTCGAAAATATTGTTATGACGTCCCGGGCACTATTATGCAAAGTAGGATAGGATAAAGAACAACAACAACAACGACAATAACCACAACAACAAGCTTTATTTCTCCATTCAGGTGATATTACAATATTAGTGCGTAAATTATTTAAAAGAGCTGCAGAAAGGGGTGACTTCCTGAAATAGCTAGAGTGTTCAAGACACTTCGTTTTAATTAAGTAGATATTGGAAGTAAATTATGAGAGTCACTGTCAAGTAAAAGCTGCTAAAAATGCATGCGTACATAAAAATTGCAAATACGTAAATACACGGGCTGTATATTGTTCTTCAAGTAATTTTCCATCGTCTCATTCGGAAATAAATTTTATGTGTTAGGAGTTAGTGTGTTCTGAGGATTACTAGACGCTCTCAATCCCTTAGCATCAGATATGAAAAATATTTATTCAGGCAAATAGTACTAACAAATCGAAATCGTATCAGTGTATAAAGTAAGAAATAATAATATAAAGTAGTTATATTAGTATTGCAAGTACATGAAATAAAGAAGCTGTTTTAGTATCGTAAATAATGTGAAGCAGCTGTGTTAGAACCTTTAGAGTAAAAATTCTAATTAGCAATTAGAATATGGAAAACAGGACTACAAAGTTAATGCGAGCATTCAATTCTTCTCTCCTTTGTCACCTCTTCGTAGAACGGATACCATGTTGGATAGCGGCAAATTGGTGTCACCCAACCCGTCTTTTCGCATCACTGCCAAATAGGATTCGCTGACCCCTGACTTTCCTCGACAATCTCGTTCATCAGTTTATACGCCGATAATGGAAGAATGCATATTGATATCTACGAAAGCCACCCACTCTTCAAAACACTTACATCTAATAGCTAGGACATATTTGTATTCTCAGTATTGGGTTGCAACTACAGCTTGCAATGGAGGCTCATGCTGGGGTATATCATTAAAAAGAGATAAATAATGTCATTTGCGTTTGAAAACACTCCTTGCATTAATCTCAGTTGCAAGCTAGGTCCACTTCAGTACCAAGGAATCGAAAATCGTCTATTGTCGAAAATACTGTTATGACGTCCCGGGCCCTATTATGATTCATATTAAAACAATAAAGACATCCAAAAAGATATCGCTGGGTGTTCCTGCGTGGTAACTCGAAAAATTTTTTTCAGTGGAATCAATTAGTCCTCGAAGCTGAAGTGAAGGAATCTGTCATTTTTAAACATAATAAGATCATCAATATTTTTCCAAAGTAGGGAAGTTTGTGTAAAATGAACCCAGCTAAATTGACCTTTTGTGTCGTACCAGAACCGACAATCTCAGTTTTTGACCAAGGCTTTCTTTTATTGCATCGTCTTTATTTTTTAGTGCTAAGCTGTGGTGGCGGCGACGGCGGCACTGGTGGAGGTGGTGGTGGTGGGGAAGGCGGTGGTGG